AAAAACTTTAATATAAGTTTAACACAACAGCAAATATACAACGTTTCGACAACGTTTTTTCATCATCAAAATCTTGTCGAAACGTTGTATATTTGCTGTTGTGTTAAACTTATATTAAAGTTTTTCTTCATTACCCATTCAAGCCGTCTCCAACCATTATAAATATGAACAATGTTCGTATACGGTTTATATATCCATTTCAGGTACGTTCTAGTATGTGATTCCAGGATTTCTAGACACTCTATGTAATTTTTGTTTAATACATTTTATGATCGTATCATGGAGTTAATTATTGACATATATATAAAATAATTAATGTATGAATCGAATACGAAATTATATAAAAATCTGCTTCTGTTACGTAACCATAATGGTTATTGTGGCGGAGAGTATAACTATTTAAATAGATATCTTATTACAACCTAATTTGCAAATAGGCCACTTTTATTTTCACAATTTCAATATTATTTAAAATATTAATTAACTCAGTCATTCTATTAGCTTAATCTAATAAAAAAAAACTTATATACTAATTTCGTTAAGCGTTTTACATTTTGTAGAAATTACACTTTTAAGGAGGTAACTCAGTAAATGTAATGGCAGCACGTGACTACGGCTTTCATATCTACCGATAGAAACACGAACAGTTGGCGAGTGTTGCAGTGTAAGTGTGGATTAGATGTGTTCCATTGTATTGTATGTTATATTATAACTATTTAATCTAAATTATATTAAGATTAAATTTTTTATCCAAAAAATTAGGATAAATCACTTTTTTGTAGCTTCACATCATGTGTATTTTTGAAGAACTAATCAAATCATCTATTGAAATTTTTTGAGTATTACTACTAGTAGTACCAGGTACATTTCTACAAAAGTAAAAGTACAACTTTTTAAAATTTTAAACTTAACAGTATCGAATCAAAACTATTTCAGATGTTTTTACAAGTTCTACTACTAACGTACACTGTGAATTTAATCGTGTAATTTTAATAGTAGTAGTAGTACTACTACTACTACTACTATTAACATTACAAATTACACAATTAAATAGTAGTACTAGTAGTAGTTGATACCTGAATTATCAAATGGCATAATTAATTAATTTTGAAATTTAGAAGTTAAAAAATCTAATTATAGAGCTTTTAAAAACATTTTTTAGAAATTCCTGAGAGTGAAAACTTTTTTGGGAGATTACAAATTACAAGTTTGTATAGTGTTCTAGTACTACAGACTTCAGTCTAGCATATTGTCACTGTCATATACAACTAAGAAAATAGAATGTTAGAAAATAAGCTTCAAAACTGTCATTTTATCAACATCATTCTGCTTTTTCATTAGAAATAGGTATCTGCACCTCAAAGATTTATTTTTTTCCACTAGTAGATTGCAGATTGATGCAGCCATATTTTTATGTGCAGATTGAACTTTGAGTTTGAAGATGATGGTTGACTGTTGTGGGAGAGGGAGGGAGAAGTGACCTCAATGTGCTAAATGGCATTTTATTATCATTCTGGATTTTGTATTTAAGCATAGAAATTTCTTTACGTGGAGTATTGATGTTCAATTTTGGTATCTATTATAGAAATGATATTGAAAGACTGAAATATTTTACCAATAAACAATTTAAACAATACAAAAAAAATATTTGAGCTATAAAGAATAATATACTTAACTAATTAGGTGTTTAGCTTTATCTTACCTTCAAGGTTTTAAACTAACTTGGTTTGGACATTTGTTAGAAAAGCTTGTAATTATTCCATTCTAAGTTACTTTTTTGCTTACGCTTTGTGTTAGTTATGTATCCCCAACATTTAGTAATTGAACATACTTTAAAACAAACAAGCCAAAACCCTTAAGCCTATCAAGGTCACCCTGTCAACAAACTTTAGGACCAACAAATCAAGTTAAATAGCATAATGTTAAAGGAAAACAAGGGAACTTTTGGGATATCTAGGTCATCCCATCCACTAAATTAAACTAAACACAAACTCCAAGCCAACCTTATCATTCAAATATTTATCAAGCTTTCCATTTAACTCTTAAATTAACTGTATTCACCATATCTGAAGGCAACCTGTTCCAAAGGCCAACCACCTTGTTAGAAAAATAAAGCTGTCTTAGCTGAAAATGACTCCTACCCTACCAAAAATTGTCCACTAGTCTTACCATCTTTATATTAAATACAAAAAAGCTGATGCATTAAGACTATCAAGTCCCTTACTGATCTTCAACATCTCAGCCATATACCCTCTGACGTTTTTTTATTTTTCTAAGAGAAAATAAGTTCAGATCTTAAATTATCCTCATATGATAACATTTTCATCTAATATATCATCCTAGTAACCCTTCTCTGAACCCTTTCAAACAATTCAGTGTTCTTTCTAAGGTAGGAATCCAAGACTGAAAACAGTACTCCAAATGTGGCTTAATCAGTGACCCATACAATGAAATTATAACCTCTTTATACTTGTATTCAGTACTTCTGTAGTTAAAAACTAAAATCCTTTTCATTCTGCCACTAGCAACAGAATATTGCTGGATGGTTTAAGAAACTGATCAGTCAGAATGCCAAGATTATGTATTTCCTGCATAACTGTTAAGGTTATTCCCAACAAAAGTATACTCATAATTCAAATTGTAATAACCCCAATGTATAACTTGCATTTATTATAATTAATGGTTATCTGCTATTTATTCACCCAACTCTCAAAATAATATAAATCCTGATGTAAAGCAGCATCCTCATAGTCATCAACACCTAAAACTTTTAATACCATCAGCAAATTTAAATAATTTATTGACCATTACTTCATCTACATCAACATTTTTTAAATTGGGGGCCTGTGAGTCAACTCAAAAATTCAAAGAAATATTTTTTAAAATATGATTTATAGATTAGAAAATATTTTGTAAAATTTTGGAATACAGCTTTTTATGTACACAGAATCTTTTTTTAAAAACAAAAAACATTGATAAGCTTAGGAATCTATGAAGAAATTTTAAATTGAAAAGGGTCCTTTGGTTACTAAAGTTTGAGAACTGCTGGTCTTTGTTGTTGATGTAAACAGTGTTTGAAATAAGACTGGGTTGTTCAACAGACAACCTTTGGACCAATTATGGTTATCTGTAATAAACTAGATATCCACACTTGAACGAACAGGTTAGTTGACAGATAAAAATTACAAACTTGATGTTACACCTTCCTAAGTCAAATATTATACTAGAAAGCTTATCAGTTGGTAGAAAAACACAATTTTTATCAAGGAACTTCTTGAGCAAAACATGACCCCTTTTTCTTCAAAAAAGTCCACTTTTCCAGGAAATTTGACACATTGTTTAATGTTTGTTTTCACTGTATTCCTGATCAGTCTTCTCTTTTTTTTTTTTTTTCAAAGACTTCGTGTCTGTTTGGTCTTGATTGCTCATCTTTGATGCAAAGTTAAAGCAAAAAAAAAGCAAAGCTTGTTTAGCCATTCCAGATTATAACTTGCATCAAAAATAGTACAACACTAATGTACCAAAACATGCAAAATGTAAATGGCTGAAATGAAAGTGGCATAATCAAAATCTTTTGAGTGGAGATCTGTTATTAGTTGTAAGTTGTGACAAGTTTGAAAGATGTTATAATGAACACTTATTGGTAAACAGTGCATGTAGTCTTGATGATTACGTCTGTGTGGAAATCAGAACACAGTGCACATAGACATATGTAATATATATAGTTCTTGGAACATGCCAATATAGGCTAGAAGCCTAGACTGCCGTAGGATTGGGCTATGTTACCGTTGCCCTACAGATAACATATTGGTACATTTGAGTTGTCAGGCAATAATTTTGATTGTCTTAAACAACTGGAAACTACTTATTTCATATACTGGATGTAAAAGAACAAAAGTCCTAACATTGATTCTTGAGGTACCCCTCTTGTGACATTGATCCTGTTTGACTGAACTTCATTTATAATAACCCTCTACTTTTTTTCCATCTAGCTAGTTTTTTTTCCAATGAGCTAACCTATCCTCTCAACACATCCCTGTAGGCCATTCATGTTGCACCTTTTGACGGATACTTTCTGAAAATCCAGATACATCAAATACACACTTTTACCCTCACCTACATAAGCAATAAACAGTAACCTTTTCAAAGAATGTCAAAAGATTAGTAAGGCAAGGTTTTACCCTAGTGAAATCATACTAACTATCCAACAAAAGTTTAAAGTTTGTTAAATGGATTTGCAAAAATTCTTTCCGCCACTGGCATGAAACTAATAGGCCTATAATTACTGGGACAGTTTTAATCACCTCCCTTGAAAATAGAAGTAACATTAACCAAATTTCAATCTTCTCTCACTTACTCACTATTCAAGTACTTAGAAAAAATAGTATGAAGTAGCTCACATATCCAGTTCTTAACCTCTTTCAAAACCCTTAGTTAAATATGATCTGGCTAAGGAGTTTTATCATTATTTAATCTTTCCAATATTTTTGTAAAAAGCTCAGAATTAATGTGATCTTTTTCAATCCTGTTTGCATCTAACAACTGTTCAGGATGAGGAATATTGCTTAAATCATCATTTGGCAGCAGAGAATACAGCAAAGAATTTGAAATATCAATTTGATGAAATTCTTGTGGTCATTTATAACTCTTTAGACAAGAGTGCAAATAGGAAACAAGAAATTAGATAATTCCAGAATCTATGTGATATGGAGACTTAAACTATTCTGAAGCATGTGTGAACATGCTGGCTGTCTCTTTGGAAATGCTTGGAGTTTAAGTGAGCAGTACTTTGCAACCAAATATGATGAAAAGAAAAACAAAAAATCCATGTGAAGGCAAAGTCTGTTCAATGCAGATCAGAGATGTCAGTGGATAAAGAGTGATTGTTTAGAAAAATGCAAAGAAAACACTTCCAAGACAAAATTGCAAAGGCAAGTGAGATAGTACAGGACACACCTGACACCAAATTACCAGGAAACACTTATTTGTGATATGAAATACTTTTACGAGTTACTTACATCAAGGAGATGTGTTGTATATGCATTATTTCTGAACAATTGTATTCAAATCTTTGACAAGTATAATTTGGAACTGTGAGGACCTACTCATCCACTGCTTGCAGAAAATTCTGTTTGCTTTGTTCAAGGATTTGTTAAGCAGACTTGTGATACCACATACAATTTTGAATTGTTCATATGTTTTGGACTTGAATTTCAAAGACAGAAAACTTCAGTTAAAAAATGAGCACTTTAAAGTATGATAAACTCCCCAAAGTAATAAAGTCTATCCTTGTAATACCACACGGCAATTCAGGTTGTGAGAGGATTTTCTCGCTTGTTTGCAAAAACAGGACAGACTTTTGAGGATCAGTGTCAAACTCCACCTTAGAATCAATGCTGATAAGCAAGATGGAGAAGGCACAAAAGCCACATTTCTCTTAAGAAGGCCAAGAGTGATACTTAAAAATTACGTAGTACTGATTAAGAGCCCTTTAAGTCTTAAATAAATCATAATTAGTAGTGATACCATTTCCATTTTTTTGCTATATTTCCCTTGTTCCAGTAGAGATTACTATTTTTCAAAATTTAAATTTGGTATTTCTGCTCTTGATCTTCTCTAATCCTACAAATTTCTTATCACTTTAGAAAGTTTAATTTAAATCTCAGCATTCAGTCGAACATACATGTACCTCCAGTGGTGGAGCTCTATTTTGCAGTGATAACCGAGTCTTTAACACTGCTTATATTGGGAATTATTCTGGTTCCCCTTCCCTACATTCTTACCACTATCCTTATTATAATAGTTATTAAAACTGAACTATAATCTGAAAGGTTTCTGTCCATAGTTTTATACAAAATTAGAATAATCCAAGTTTATAAATTTAAAGGTTGTATTCAAGTTTCTATACTCCAAGCACATCAAAATCAGGTTTATAATTTCCTGGATTTTTCTCTAAACTTCTGTTTTTATTTAAGAATAGGTACCACAGGAGCTCTCCAACAATCATTGGGAGTTTTGCTATTCAGTAGTTTTATGCATGCTTAAACAGCATTATTTGTATTCAAAGATTTATTTTCCCTCTGCATTCCATTGGTATGGTTAATAAAAGAAAAGCCAATTTCATTGAGAACAACTAAATTTTTGGAATTCTAATGCAGTTTATGTTAATATAGTGCCTGAAATGTTGATTTGGGTTGTACTTTTTATTAAGTTGTTTTGATTGTATTATCATTTATTAAACAGTATTTTACCCATGCCTATTTTACTAAATGTACCAAATTTTTTATTATAAATAATTTTGTGAAATACATTATGCAAAATATAGGAAAACAACAATATTAATTTTTATTAAAGATTTGTAAGAGATTGTGTACAGATTTTTGGTATAGTAGACATTAATTGTACACTGTCTTTTCCAACTACCTGTGATTGTTCCTTCTGACAATTGGTATTTCACTCAAAGCTATGTATTTGAAACTGTTTTACCACATCTTGCACCATCACAGTGATTAGAAACTATATAATTGCTTGGTATGGTGAGTGCTAATTTTTTTTTCTCAGGCTTTATATTGGAGCAAAACTTAACTATACAAATTATATTTTGAAGCGTTTCTATAATCTTGATATGATTTTTGTTCACATTCCACCAGTGAATACTTAATTCTTAAATAATTAAATTTTATAAGTTCATTTCATCCATATTTTAGAATTTGTTCTTAATCCAATTTCCTCTGTGTAAAATGTGTACCAGTATGTGCTGTTTAATCTTTATGATATGACATTGGGTATTCCATCCTTGCTTAAGGTGTAATACAACCTCAAGTTCATTTTTTTTAGTATAGTGTAGTACTAAAAATAATTATGAACACTATCAGGAAAGAGGTATGAGAGACAAATACAATGGGAATGTCTGCCATTCATAGTAAAAAAAAACTGCATCACCATACATTCACATATCGATATTTACACTGATTGATTGTCATCCAGCTATTCAGAACGTACCACGCCCACGACAAAAACACTGTATGACAAGTTTGTATAAATCAAGTTTTGCCTGATCAAGGATACTCCATTCAAATAATTGCAAAAAGTTTCCATATTTCAGTAGAAGCTGAATTCAAGAATCTGAAGAGGGTGTGTGAAACTGTCAATGTCGACAATATGTATAGACTCTCCATTAGTGATGTTAAGTATCCTAGGGTATGTTCTTTAAAAAATAGAAAGTTATTGAGTACAGATCTTGACAGTTTCTTTGTTGTAAATACAAGTGTGAATGTTACCTCAAACAGTAAGGTAGAAGCACAAAGTTGTCTCAATGTATTTGTAGCTGGTTGAAAACCACTTCTGATAAGATATAACCAAACCCTAAAGATTGAAATAGGTATCAACCATAGATAGTGTGATGAGCAAAGTTGGAGATGTGCTATTTACAAGTGAATCCAGGTTTGAATTGTTTAAAACAATCAACAACAAATTTCTTTATGACAGTGTGGAGAATAGTTTCATGTTTAATGTACAACATCTACAATGAAGTATTATGGGTATGCATATCTTGCCATTGTCTGAGGAACACTACTCATTAGGTGGGAATTCATGTTTCAGTAACACTTTGATCCTAAATGTGAAGTAAATGTCGTGAAACAATATCTTCATGGTAGAAAGGCTGACGGAACATTTGCATCTATGGCTGGGCTTGTTTAAGGGACCTATATGAACATTCTTGAGGCTGTATGGACTTGTGTAAAAACTGGGAAGGTTGATATAAGGGTGGCAAAACAACTTGATTGAATTATGAGGAGTAATAAAGATTGCTTGAAACAATATTCCATAGTTGTACCTTGATGTATGACAGCTTGAACACAAGGTATAAAGCTCTGTGGAATGTAAAGTACTCGCATACAAAATACTAGTACATTCTACAACTTTTTTTCTTTTACATTTCTTGTGATATTTTGTACCATTGATAAGTCCACCATCTATTTTCCCTTACTTGTTTTTTACCTCTATATGTGTATTGTTTGTGTATTTCTGTAATTATTCCCAGTACTTTGAGATATATGTAATGTTTTTAATTTTGTTTGTGTTTGACTTTTTGGGCTTTACATTTTTTCTCGTTTCAGGTAATTTTCTCAATATTTATGATTTTAAATTTACTTTTGTTGAGTTTTTACTTGAAGTATGTTTATGAAGATACCATCGGATTTCTATTAATAATGTGATAAATGAAAATAGTTTAATTTTTGTGAAACTTAAATTTTACTTTTAACATTTTCTGTGAAAGTAGTGTTTGAGACTGTGAAGACACGTTTCATTGTTCCAGGTAAGCTTTTGGCATAATGAGTAATTTAGCTCCTGAAATAAACTACAATGCTAACTATGAAAACTATGCTGACAGTTTTCATATTTTTAGATATGTCATTTTTTTTTGTAGTTGAACTACTGGCTTTTTTTTTTTTCGTTGTGTGTGTGTGTGTTGTTAGTAAAGCTTGCTCTTATTTTTGTGTGAACATTCAATTAAAGACCACCCAAGGCAATTAAAGCATAAACTCAATACAGTAAGCACTTTGACATCAATTGATGAAATAAGACTGGTTTAATTTCCATTTCAAGAGTAACCCCTAACTACAGTAGTTGCCACCAGATAACCTCAATTTGTGGTGATAATACTCTCTCATGTGTTGTTTTATTACCAATACTGTTTTTTTTTTAACTTTCAAACTGAATGATGTGTACTGAAAAATGACTTACATATTTGAAACACACAATTTTTATTTCTGATGCATTTTTTATGTAAAAAAAAAAGAAAAACATTCACATCTTATCTGGAGCTCAGTAATGGTAAGAATGTTAGGCATAGTTTTTAAACCTATAATAAAATGTGTAAAATGTCTTTTATGCAATGGTAAGTGCTTTTGATTTATAAGCCAGTTTTATTAATAAAGTTGAATAGGTGAATTTCATATAGTATTGATTGAATTTCTTTTTCAGTCTTTGACATCAAAGCTTTATCAAATATGAAGCTAGAATTTTTCTTTGGAATATGCTTGGTATTCTTGCTAAACAGTTTTATAGGAGGTAGGTGCTTAATTTGTATATGGTATTGTTTTGTTTTTAATATCATGGTAAATATTATTGAATCATATATTTGTATTATTTGTAAAAGCTTAAATGTTGTGATACGGGAAGTGATTCTTATTTTAAAGATGCATGAATGGATGTATAATTACATTTCATCTAGGATTTTGAAATAAAAAACCAACTTGTTGAATTGTTAATGAAATACATAGATGCCAAGTATTCATTATTTTTTATCTTTACCATATGTATACTTGAATTAGTTAGGTATTGTGAATTAGAATTCAAACCAGAGCATTAGGCCATTTACCTCAACCCCTGGTCCTGTATTACATAAACAACTTTTCTTTTAGTGGAAAACTTATTGCTAAAAATGTTCTTGCATGTTTGCCTGGGTTGATTAGTAAAAGTAGCGTATGCTAGGAAAACCTCTTGCAGTAAGTCGACCACTGTTACCTGTATAAAGGTAAGTTTATTAATCATTTGTTTTATTGTTTTATATGACTATTTCTTCTAAGGTAATATTTTTACCTCATTCAATCAGTTTGTAGAGATTGAGAAAAAAATTGGGTTGTTTGCCCTCAACACTTTAAACATAATATTTTTCTACTATTTAAATAGTGGATTTTTTTCTTATAATTGATTTGGATTTTCCATGTGGTGATCAATTTATTTGTTACTTGTTAACTGAGAGCTAAATAAACCATAAATATAAAATCATTAAATACAACCAGCTTAAAGAGATGTTGATAAAAATCTCCTGGTGTTTCAGCTCACTGGTAAGTTTCAGGACTTGTAATGTAAAAGTTCAAGGTTTGATCCCTACCACAAAAACAGTGCAGATAATCCATTATATAGCCTTGCACTACAATAAATATGTTGATAAAAAAAAAATATATATATACTCTTATAACAACATAATGTACTAGAAATTAATTTGTGAAAATAAATGTTAGGTGTTGTTTTACTAATGTCTTATGCCATTTCAGAAGTTTAAGTGAATAATTTAATCTATATGTAGCAGTAGTTCATTGTAATATTTACAGCTATTCAAAGGTGTGACTACTTATGGCAATGTTTTTAATGGAGCACCAAACTTTTGTTACATTTCCTTTTGACAGTGTATTTTTCTATAGCGAAGGCTAAACTATTTTTCAAAACTAAAGGTTACATTTATGCCAAAAGTTGCATGGGATGCAATTTGTCAGAAAAGGCTCAGTAGTTTTAGCATAATTCAGTTGAAAATACTTCCATAATTAATTGCAGTAGCATAATCAATTTTCAGAAATGGAGTCTCTGAAAGTGCAAAAACTTGTTTTGTGTTGTGTAACTGAAGAGACTTGGATGACTTGTCTGTGCATAATCAAGGATGTGAAATTAAAGAACATAGGGCACTGCGTTCTTTACTGTTATCTTGTCGGTTGGGGATTAATGTACACTTGTAAAATAGCTAAGTGACACTGCATTTAATATTAAATATCCATTAGGCCTACTTGTACTTATCCTTTTAGGTTTTCAAGAATTGATGAAAAAGATAGTCAAAACATTTGTGACATTTTTATGATAATATTGTATCAGCTAAGTAGTTGTAGTTGTGATTTAATGATAACTGTTTACCTACTTATTTCTCATACTAACAAATAGTCTTAACTAATGTTCTAATTTTTCTACTTTTAGGTGTTTTTTTTATGGATCTATCATTTTTTGTTTCATGCTAAGACTTTGAAACTAGTACTCCTTACATTACCTTTTCTGGCTTTGGTCTTTTGACATATTTGTAAATATTAACAATGGACCTGAATAAGTCTAACATTTTTGTGAATTCTCTGCAGGAAACACAAACTATGGACTATTTAGAAAAAATATTGGCTTGCATTATGATTTACAATAGAAAGTTTAATCTTCCTTTTTTTAATGGATTTTAGTTCATAGCCAAGAAGAGTCAGTCTCCTTACATGATTCTGTAATAGACCCTAATGAAACAACAACAGCAACAGATACAACCACTACGATTCTTCCTTTTACCACTGGCTCTCCATTAATAACTACTACAGTAGAACCTGCTTTTTTTGGAAATTGGAGTGTCACCAATGATAATGGAACAGTGTGTATTTTGCTGAAAATGTCAGCACAGTTTCAGATTCAGTACATAAAAGTGGATAATACAGTATGTAATATTATTTTCATTTTTTGTTTTATGTATTGTTTTGTCAATAAAGTTGGCTACATGAGGCAAACAATTAAATATATTGGATAAATGACAACAGCTACTTTAAAAGAATTTAAGCTGTACTATAAAGTATTAAACTTCTATACCGGGGATTACTTGTTAAATAAACCCCATTTGAAGTTGAAACTTTTTCATCATACAGTTCATTTTGAAACGTTTTTTTTTTCCATAGAAAAGTTGAAATATGTTATTTGTATTTAAAAATGTATATATTTCTTTCAGTGTACAGAAGTTTCAATTGTTATTGGTGTAGTACTGAAAGAAAAAAAGAGTTCATTGACATAATGGTGTATAATGTTGAATACTGTGCCCAGTGTAAATTAGAACTTGTGATCCATGGATGAACTGTTCAGTCATGCTAATTTTCTAAGTCTCAAAGCTGATAAAGGGGCATAAGAGTGGAAGGCTATAAAACTCGACAGATAAATGGAAGATAAATTATTTAATGGAAATGATATAGCAATATTGTTTGTTAAGTGTGTTAAAGTCTGATAGACTCGTTAACTAGTACTAATAGACTAAAAGTTACTTTGACAGAACTTAGATGAAATATAGCCACAAAGCCAACTTGCACTTGAAAATTTCATTCCTCATTTCATTGAGTGTGTGTTAACAATTAAACAAGTGTAGTTTATCTAAATGTAATATCTACGGTTGTCTGGTTTGTAATATTTTCAAAACATTAACTTTGTTTACTACCGATATCTTCATTTTTTGTTCTAAATGCGTTAGTAAATTTGATTTTATTTTTCAGACTGGTACAGGGCATCTCAACATTCCAGATACTGCAGTAGTGGATGACTCAAGTTCATGTAGTTACAAGAATGAAACTCAGTTCATTAAACTTGACTTTAATAAAAATTCCATAGAAATGCTTTTCAAACAGAAGAATGGTTACACTTGGATGTCAGAAATAAGCTTGATGTATACACTTGATGAAAAGAATTTCCCATCTGCCAAGGAACCTGGTTTGTTATTTCTTGCATATAGTTATTATTAACTAAATGAACATGAAGTAAAACATGCTTTGAAAATATTGGATTCTCTTATCAGGTAGATTAATATACTGATAAGAAATTTTAATGTTTGTGTGATATTGTTTCTGCTAGCTAACATTTAAAGAAAAAATAAGCTGGTTGTAAATGGAATAATATAAAAAAAAATAGTATCACTATATTTATATTGGAGTAATTGTGATTAAATTGTGTTTTTATTTGTATTATTATTATTATTAACTACAAGTTGCCCTTGGATTCTGTCTTTAAAAACCAAAAAAGCTTTAAATCCTCTTACAAGAAAAAGAAAGTTGTTTTACTGATATTTTTCTCAATTTATTTTAAGAACAGATTTTTATTTAAATTTCTTGAACTTCTCTTTCAGTTTAACATATTTAAATCTTTAATTAACTTGTATTTCTGTAAGAGCTTTCTTCTACGTAAAGAATTTATCACAGCCTTCTTAAGATAATCATTCTAAACCTACCTGTGAGGTATGAAACATTCACATTTATTTGTACAGGTATTTAAATTTGTAACATGTAATAGATGTGAATAATTTTTGATTTATATAAAAAAATAAAAAAAACATCTTTTTATAAAGTTAATTGTATAGTTTTCTTTAGAAATAAGTAATTAGATACAAAGGTTGTCATGATAGAAGTCTTGCAACTTCAAAACTATCTCTTATTAACTGAAATGTACTTTAAATATTTGCAATGAGACCGACAAGTCTCATTAGCCAACACTAGTATTAAATCCTTAAATGAAATATAATATTAAATTCTGTCATTTTTCATGTTTTAACATTTTTGATATACAACCTTGAATGCTTAGTAGCTATAAATCATCATATTTATTAAATCTTTGAGCTTTAACTGAAATTACTTGAAAGTTTTAGTAATTAATTAGTATTTTGAGTTCTGTTGCAAAGTGAAGATTGGTTGCTATACAAACATATTTAAGATTTTGGTGAATTTTCTGATAATGCAGCCTTTGTAGACTATGTAACTACATATTTTTAAGCTTTTAATAAATTACCTTGTTGAATGATGGTTTGAATTTAGGCAAAATGGAAAGAGTAGGAGCCTCTGGTATCAACAGATTTAAGACACCAGTTGCAAGGTCATACTTGTGTAAAACTGAAGATGATATTAATCTTTTGGAAAATGACAAAGTTGTGATGAAAGTTTCTGATTTACAAGTGGAAGTGTTCCGAAAGACAAATGACACAGCATTTGCTTCTGGTAACGATATTTAACATTATCATATATTTTACTACTACATATTCTTGCAAAGTATATATATATATTGATAAAAGTTTTCTCTTTTAGCTAAAAGCCCCCCAGTGGCACAGCGGTATGTCTGTGGACTTACAACGCTAGGGATCTGGGTTTCGATATCCGTGGTGGGCAGAGCATTATAAATGATTTTGCTTATTCTAATGTAAGATCTGTCAAAAGTGATACATTAGAACTTGGTACTGATGTCCAGGTTGGTATGGAAAAGTTCACTGATGTGTACTTAACAATTTCATATCAAGTACATTTTAGAAACTTCTACCATACCTAAAAATAACTTCAGAGGAGGCAAACATACAGTTACTGTATACAATACTTTGAAGAACATAACAGTATGACTACTGGGTCCTACAATATGTAGGACCTAATGCTGGTATCATTATATTTTGTTCCAAAAATAATACTAGTGGATGAAATTGTTTGAAATCTGACAAGAACTTTCCTAAAAGTATGTAGTTTCAGAAAAATATCTAATTTTGATTTTTTCTACTATTTATAATAAAAACTCATTATTTAATGTAGTTATTTGCACTTGGCCTTTAAATAGTTCACCTGCAAGATGATTTTCATTTTGAGTATAAATGCATATGCATAATCTCTAGAACCTGCTAATTGAATATAAAAAGTTTTCAGGGGTAAATGTTTATATTTGATTTTCCATTTTTTTAAACTACATCACTAACTCTAGCTATTATCAACAATGTACAGTGCAATGAAATGTTTAACATTAAGAAATGGACATACCTTTTATCTCTTCGTTCAATAACCTTTAAATATTTTCTTTGGGTTATATGTGTAATTTCATGTTTTTACCTTTTCACTTGTTTTATTTTCCTTTTCAATTCTTTATTATTTGTGTCGAAATGTCAACTGGTGCCCATAGGACATATGATGTTATGATCAGCAGAGACGCTTTAGCCTTCAGGCAAAATGTTTGCACTCTATTTTCATAAGCCTTCGGCAGCGAGTAGAAAAACTTAAATAAACATTAAACCTTTTGAAATATGAATCTTAAAACCCAAATAACACATAATTAATATAAAAGTAAAACCTAAATACAATTTAACTGTCTATCAAACTAATATGTTTAAGGCAATAAAACAAATAGTCAAGTGCTAGGGACACTGATCTCAACAAAGAACTTAGCGACAGTTTACTTGTCATTTGAAAAATAATTTAGCGCCTGCATTTCCTTCTAGCCTGGAGAAAGTAAACAAGAAATTGCTCTTTCTATTGCTTATAAGCATGCTATTCAAGTCTAGAAAAGTCTGTTGCTTAGCAACAGATTGCAGTAAAAGGTACAAGTCTGATGTACACAAAAAATCAGATTTTACTAAAGTATGTACTCAACATGTATGTGAATTGATGACATGAGTCTTACTCAGACTCTGACACATTAGAATACAAGATGGTGTTCATGTGAAGAATAAAACTTCTATTGTTTGTCATATGGTTTGCATCTTGCATTTACATAACCTCTAGAACTTCTGAAATACACATCTACAGTTCACCCCCCATTACCCCTGTATATTGTATCTTGTACTTACTCTCCTCTACCATGAGCTGTTGCTATATCAGCAGTGTAGGGTAAAATGAGTAGCTGACATCAAATACATAATACTATTTTTAATGGCATTATGTAAAAGGTCATGACATGCACACTTTGACCCCCACCTGTGCACATAGGGTTAACCCTTTTGAGATGGGTCATACGTGAAAGGCCATATCATCTTGTTTGTTGACTCGCATTCAAAATTTTATTGAACTACTATTTAATGAATTTATGTCAATAAATTTGGTATGAAACTGTAGATTATAATTCAAATTTTAGTACTATATATTACTCAATTTCTTAATTTAAAAGCAAATGTTAAAAAACACAGATAAACATCAATTTTTGTGTGTCACGTGGTATGTTAAATGCAGCACTGGTTCAAATTAGATGTCTATGAAGTCAAATACTAAGTCTATTATAAAAAGTCTATAATTCTAACGATTTAGAAACTCAAATTACCAATATTGACAAGCTAGAATATAAAATAAGAGCCTCTTATCTTTTCAATTTTCTAAGATATTGCTCGTGTAATAAATCAAACACAGTGGCACCTTGCCCACCTCTTTCCCTTTTTGGAAATGCTCCCTTATATATACACTTACTTCTATTATTAACATGAATAACCAATTAGAAGCTCAGAATGTCCCCTAGTGGCTTTCTCAGCCATTTTAATGGACTCTGCGCCAATTCTTTCTTTTGAACCAATATTTCAACGAGGTAGGGTGTGTCTTTAGTCTGCTAAAATACATCATAGTTACTAAGCGTGATAAATTATAGTGGAATTCTATGGTATTAA